CGTTTGTTGTCCTCTTCTCCCTCTCTGCCTACGGTTTACCGGGCAGTTCTATTTGACGATATATATATATATATATATATATATATATATATATCTGTTTGTGACGATATATATTATATAATATATCTATTATCTATATATATTTTTTCTTTTTGGGTCCAGAACCCCCAATAACCCCACCAACACCCCATACGCACCCCCAATACACCCCCAACACCCCCAAACCGCCCCCAAACACCCTCATACCCCCACCCCAATACCCCCTATACCACCCCTATACCCCCCTATAACCCCCTTATACCCCCCCATACCCCCGACCGGTCCGCCCTACTGGTCGGCTGCAAAATGGTCGGCTGCCGGGGTCGGCGGTCGGCAGGTATGCAACCCTGATAAACTGAAAAAAAGAGTACACTTTGCAAAACAAATGGAAAAAATCGCAGACAACGTGAAGCACACTGAGACAGTTTTTTTTGCCCACGTTTTCCAGACTGCAGGTATTTTCCACAAAAAAAAAAAAGGTACTGGTGGTTTAACATATGTACACTTGTGTCACTTGCACAAGGTCAATTAATTGACCATTCTGTAGCCCACAAAAATGCCACCTTGATGTCCGGGCTTGCTAGCACCGCCCCAACTAAAAGGACCCAGTCCAATCTAATCTCTCTGCAAACTTACAGATGGATTTAAGCTTTTTCTAGATTGCTCACCATGCAGCTCCATTGGTGATACCCGTAGGGAACTCGACGTTCTGCGGGGTGGCCATGAATGGATGGTCCCGAGCGTAAGTTGTTGCCATAAAGCGGAACGTTACATCATCTGGAGATTTTGAGTATGTCGTACTGCAGCCAGAAACAAATACAGACCGCCACAGAAAATAACAAATTATGTCCTTGTCAGTTAAGAACTTAAGAGCAATTGTCCCCCCAGAGGTGGGAATATACTGGCCGGAGGCACAGCCGCATGAGCCCGTATCCCTTCTTTCTTTCTATTCTTTCGTCTGCTGGAACATGCTTGCCGGCGATAAGCAACCAGACTCCTTGCTGGCCCCCAGAATAGATGGGGCTGGATTGTTAAAAAAAAAGAAAAAAGAAAAAAAGAAGCTAAGAGCAAGAGTGAGCCAGGGAGGGTGGGTGTGAAAGCACACACTGTGCAAACCCAGTCTCGTTCGTTCGTTATACTTCAAAGTTTTAGGGTTTCTTTGAACTTTCTTCTTCTCTGTCCTTTTGCAAGTATAAAAAAAACTAGGGGACCTGTTGCGGCTACGCCCACAATAAAAATGGAATGTTTGCCAAGAAGTTAATGGACTCTCTCTCTCTCTCTCTCTCTCTCTCTCTCTCTCTCTCTCTCTCTCTCTCTCTCTCTCTCTGCGTCTTACCTCTTGCGGCTGCGTGCGTGCACGCGCCCACTTCGCTTTATTTTTTTTTCCCCCGAAATCACTT